AAGATTCAGATATAGCTTGTCCTGGGGGGAGGAGTTGGAATGGGATGATGTAAGGTTGGAGCACCAGTTTCAAACTTTGCCTTCCTTTTCTTCACTTGAGCTAGAAGGAAGCAAAAACACCACTTCCCTTTGTTCACAAATGGCCCCACCTTTGCTGTCTTTCAACACCAGCTCTCCTCGCTTGGCACCAGTTCAAATGTGAAAAGAAGGGTCACCCTGTAGACAATGCTCCATATTTACATCAAAACCTCTGGTTCAGGCCTTGGATTCTTGAGATACTCCAGGTATCTTTAGTTAGAATAACCCTTTTGAATTAGTGCTATGCACTGGGCCCGCAGTGCAATCTTTTGCCAGTATCCTTGAGATTCACTCATACTGAGTTTAACAAGATTTAATTCCCAGTTCACCGTGCATATGGTCTGTGGTTGGCTATATCCAGAAAGACACAAGTGTACATACATAAAGGACGGTGCAAAGATGTGAATAGAGAGGCTGGAAGCACAGGAAAAAAAAAAAAAGACCTGGTTGAAGAAAACAAAATAGAGGTAGAAAAAGTAATTGGGGGTAAGGATAAATAAACCTGTGCATTGATTATGAGTATTTTCTCCCCAATGAGGTTATGTCAGTTCCTTGCAAGACTTGGACAGTACCACCAAAGGTTTACTCAGTGTCCAAGGCCTTCTGGTTAGTATCATCTTATTGTTTACTATAAGATGCTAGTATTGGTACAAAGAGAAATAATGCCATGGACATTATCTTCTTTCCTGAGTGGAGGAACAATTTAGAGGAGATCACAATATTTCATAGAGTTGCATGATTAGTGCATAATCTATAAACTCTCATCCTAAAATGGAGCATTTATTAATAAATACATTATATGGCATATTTGGATGATGCTATATCATAGCTACTGCAGTATGAGTCCAATCCAAATCACCCAATCCTATTAATATTTCCTGAGAAGAAGCTCCACTCGATTCAATAGAATGTGCTTCTAAACAGACTTGTGTAAAGTTTAATTCAAGCCCAGTTTAATTCAAACAAGGAGATTTAGACTCCAATGCTATATTCATTAACTTAGAAGTACATCTCACAGAAATCAGTACAGCTTCATTCTCTGATTGAAATCAGACTTCAAAGAACCTAACTGTGGCTGGATCGCATCACACATGCAGGCGGGTGTCGCACAAGCACACAGACACAAACGCACACAACCAAAAGCGTGCTATGCAGTAACAAAGGGATCACACTGAAAATAAAGTTCTAAAGGAGATACTTTCATCCCATTTAAGCCAAAAATTCCTAAAAAGGAGGCTACATTATAACACAATACATCGAGAAGATTAGTACTGTAGCCAGAACTGCCTTAACCAACAACATGCTTTATAGTCTAAATGGGGAGAAAAGAAGCAATAGAAATTACCCCTTCTTATACAACCCCTAAAACATGTGTCTACCAAATGGCATGGCCATAAAACCTTAGCTTAAATGATTGAAGAGGGAAGGGGTTGAGCAGAAAGGGGAAGAAAATGTAAACACCACAAATTGTTAAGACAAGAGTTATCTCACCCTTATAGCCAAAAAGCAGCAGGGAATTGGCACAGGATCCCTTGCACCCAAAGACTCTTTCAATTCTTAACCAGAGGCACTGGTTTTTAAGGTTCTACCAGGTGGTGGTGGTGGTGGTTTTTAACGGTGTCTTCTACAGTTCTGAACAGTATTGGAAGAAAACCTCCAATAAATGGTAAGCATATTCCTGAGATAATTCCACAGCTCAGGTTTGGAAATGGCTTCCACTAACACAACCCTTTTGAGGGGAAAGGTTGATGTAAAGTGCCACAATGGCAAATTAGTAAAAACTTGGTGCTTATGGAGAAGTAAGGCTTCCGACAGTCTTTGATTTCCTGTAATCTTAATTGAAGTTAGTGGGAGCACAATAGCATTTACTGGAAAGGAACAAGCTGAGGTGATTGGGTTAAGGGTTTGGGAGGTTGAAATTAGGATAGGGAACAGATAATTACTGATATGCAGGTCTACTATCCCAAATCATTTAGGATGACAAAGTGACTGTCCAGATCCTATGCTATTTTACTAGAAAATAAACCCATGGAGCTCAGTGGGATTTACTCCAAGCAAGATGTGTGTGGGGTTAGTTACCAGAGGACTATACAATATATTCTATTGGCATCTATTGTCAGGTAGAAGCCCTAAAGCCCTACTTAATCAAGATCATGGATTGAAAATGTTACATGCTCTTACTGTGAATGAAAGTTGTTATGAACCAAGAAAGAAAGAAGGAAGGAAGGAAGGAAGGAAGGAAGGAAGGAAGGAAGGAAGGAAGGAGGGAGAGGGAGAGGGAGAGGGAGAGGGAACAAAGTTTATTACCCCAATCAGATTTTCCCCAATCTTCATGTATACATTAGTTTTCACTGACAAAAAAGACAACCACATCAACCAGCTCTTCCAAAGTTAAATAATTAAAGTTCAGTGTCAGGACTTTCTACTCAAATGATCCTTTACAAGGAAATTTAAAGACTGTCAAAAAAATTTTTTTTACTGTTAACATCTAGATTAGGCCACTTCTTGAAGGTAATCTGCCTTTTCTTGAGCAGATCAAAGAAATAGGAATCTTTCAACATTTTTGGAAATCAGACCTGTCTTCTTTTTTCCTTTTCCAAAAGCTAGCCTTTGTCAAGGCTCCAGAAGTGGTCAGAATTAAAATTTGTCCCTTGAATCAAGTATCTGCAAGTGCAGGTCAGCTCATGAGTGAATTGAATATAAAGTAATACATGCATACACAGGGTACTTGTATTCATGCCACAGTGCACGCAAGAGTTGTATGCTCTCAAAAAAGCTTGCACAGCACAAGTAAACAAAGGGTGGGGGAAGTACCTGAGCTCTGTGCTCTATGGCCACAAACTTTCACAAGATATTTTTCTGGTGGATTGTGACCATGGAAGCAGCAACAAGTGGGTATTTGCAGCTAGGCTGCAAATAAAAAAAAGCAAGGGAAGGAAGGAAGGAAGGAAGGAAGGAAGGAAGGAAGGAAGGAAGGAAGGAAGGAGGAATTCTAAAGTGGGGGGGGAAATGACACAATTGTTGCAGCAAAAAAAAAAAAAAAATGTCCTGGAACCATATGCTACAAACCAGGGGTTGGGGTGGTACAGAAGAAGCAGGAGGAAATGTGAACGTGTGGATTGAATGAAAAGCGTCAAATAATTTATTCAGGACATTTTAAAATCATCATCATCATCACCATCATCATCATCGTCCAAGTCTTAGCATCTGCACATTTTTTACACCATTCTCCTCCTGCACCTCTGTCTCCTGGAAGGTAGGTGATGGAAATCAGTTCCACAGATTCTGATAGAGTCCTCCCTAACTAAGCATACTTACGCTTCTGACACCAATACACTCCTAAGAACTGAATACACTCTCAAAGTGCTTTACAAGGCTAATAAGTTGAAGGTAGCAAATAAAAAGCCCTCTGCCCACACCCAACAAAATTATGGTGTACTCCTTTATGCTACCATCATAACTAACAGAGTTATCTCTGTTTTTCTTTTTTCCTGCTAAGCATATGCCCTTAAAAACAGAAATTCTTCTGGGTCACACTCAGGTAGCTCAGGGGCCTTGGCCACAGTGTTTTTTCCCTGAGATTCTGTGCAGAAGAAAGTTTCCAAGGGAGACGGAAACCCCTCCCTCCAGGCCCCGCTCCCCCGCCCCATCTGTAACAACCTGGTCCTTTAAAACTCATTTAAGCAGATAGTATTTCAAGAGAAACTTACTTTAAGGTTAGCAGCTCCTAAGTCCTCTTTGGAGTAAACAGTGCACCATCAATGCTTCCTATTTCTGCAATGGAGCAGCCTTTATCTGCCTGGAAAAGTGCTCTCCCATTCCTGCCCCCTTCCAAGCCAAAGCAGGCAGTTAAAATGTCACTTAACATTCTGGAGAATGTGAAATATATTGTACATTGTCAACTCCCCAAAACCATAAAACTAACTTTATGGACCTCACGTGACTTTTGAGAGCCAGTGAGGGGTATCTGGCTGAGGTCTGGGCGATTTTTACGATCTAACTTCTAGATAAAACCCTATCCATTTGACATCTTAATGTCACAGCCACTTTTGGTATACTTACTTACTTTACCACGGGTAAAATATATACATGCGTGCGTGTATGTGTGTGCGCGCGCGTGTGATGTGTCTATGTGTATTCAAGAGAAGGCGAGAAAATGGGTTGTTTTGGAAATGACAACTCACATCCCAGCCCTCTCAAAACCATTTTAAGAAGTAACCAAAGAGTTTGGGGTAAGTTTATAAGACCGATTTTACTTCCTACAAAAGAGTCAGAGAGAGAGAGGAAGAGAGAGAGAAAAGAGACTGCTCTAAGCTATAATTTAAGATATCAAAGACTACTTATTTCCCTGTTGCAACAAACAGACTTTAATCATAGCGCTGTGATTTAAGGGGAGGAGGAGAAGAAAAGAAAGTTAGATTACCAGATTAATTTTTTAAAGGGAAAAAGAAAGATTGGCTCATGCACATTGTTTATATTATCTCTGTTGAGACAACTGTGATTTTCCATACTGAATTTTTATTTATATATATATGTAGGATTATATAAAAGCATACAGAACAGCTAACAATATATGTACTTAGCCCTGCAATTTCAATGACATTTTGTCATTCTGTGATAACTTCAGTGACTCCCTAAATGCTTGGTTTATGGACTTTGAAGCTGTAATCTGAAGCACATTTACTTGGAAGTAAAGGCCTTAAAATTAGATAGAAATCTGTTGGTGAAGAAAACTGGTCAGAGTCTTAGTCTAAGGAAGGAAAGGAAGTTCTGAGAACTGAACAACTGGTTTCTCTTCTTTCTTTCTGGGTTGTGTTTTCTAATTCAGCACCTAATATTGCTTACAGGGAATGATTTTGTATCTTTGGCTCATTAGAGATTTTAGGGGAGTGGGACAAAGACCCCCAAGGAGAACCTGGCAGCTGGGTCATGCCGCGAGTGAACAGAACACACTTTCTCTCTGGGTGTCTTTTTAAAATGCAGATTTTGCTGATGAGTAACTTTAATGCTGTGACTTGTGAATATTGCGGAATAAAGAAATGCAAAGAAGGGCACTATTTTTCTGGCCAGGAGAAACGTTTATTTGACTTCAAGTTAAGGCTACAAACCGATGCGAACAGCGTCTTGGCAAAGATGGGAACAGGCAGCCAGACATGACAAATGCCATTTCAGACACACAGAACACTGAATTCACCCTGCCCACTAAAACTTCCTATTAGTCACTGTAGAAATATTTCTAGTATTTACAAACATTTTAAACATACTATGGTTGGTCCAATCATATACCCTTTTAAAGTGAACTTCACTCACATTTATTTAAAAAAGAAAGAAAGAAAGTTTCAGAACTGGCCTGGGATAAAAACAAGGCCAGGAATCAAATCACAGACTTGACAATTTCAAAGACAGATACATGAGTTTATATAGAGAGATATACTTTAAAACAAAACAAAAAAAACATTTGTTGTGGTTGATGGTTTTTAATTTTCTTTCTTTTTTTTCTTCCCTGCTACTGAACTGCAGGAGCCCCCGACTTGAGTAGAAGGAAAAGAGGTAGGATTCCCCACAAAGTTGTGAACTTTTAAGAACCCATCCTTCCTTCCCCATACTGTCTTATAAATAAGTTATAACATTTAAAAAGCACACATTAAAAGAAAGAAAGAAAGAAAGAAAGAAAGAAAGAAAGAAAGAAAGAAAGAAAAGAAAAGAAAAAAGAAAAGAAAAGAAAAGAAAAGGACATGCTAACTTCTTCCAGAAAGCATCATTATAGCACAGACACAAACATTGAGAACATCTAAAGCATTAAAGAAGCCTCTGGGTTTTATCTTTTAATTTAAAGGGGGACGATCGCAGCAAAGGACACAATCTTGGAATAATAGTACCCACAGAAATGGTTTATTATTATTATTATTATTGTTGTTGTTGTTGTTATTAATAATAATAATAATAATTTAAAAAATCAACAGCATGCTGAATGGAAAGTGCTTCACTTTACAGTACTCCAAACTTAACAAAAACAAATCTGGCTGTTGCTTTTCGTTTGCTTGCTTGTTTTAAACTTTCTTACTTCCTGCCCCCCCTCCTTCCTATTTCTTAATATTCCTCCTTGATATAATTTATGGCTGAAAAGCGCTGCCACCAGACGCTAAGCTCATACTTTTGAGTTTGTTATCTTTCTTCCACTTCATTCGCCTGTTTTGGAACCAGATTTTTATCTGTCTTTCGGAGAGACACAAAGCGTGGGCAATTTCTATTCGCCTTCTGCGGGTGAGGTAGCGGTTAAAGTGAAACTCCTTCTCCAGCTCCAAGGTCTGGTAGCGAGTATACGCCGTTCGGGCTCGTTTGCCATCCGGTCCGGTCATATCTGAATAATAATAACAACAGGACATGGGAAAAAATTGCCTTCGGTGGGTCTGGTTTCTGCTTTTAGATCACAGGCACAGAAAGACAGCGAGAGACCGCGCGTTCGACTGTTTCCTCCGTGGCCGCCTGCTACTGTCCTCAAACACGCCCCAGCGACTGGAAGGCACGGCTTCTCTGCCTCTCCGTTTCCTCCAAGCCAATATCCTTCGCTTTAATCTGGCCCCAGACCTTAATTCTAATTAATTTAGACCCATGCCCCGCTCTCCTTCTCACGCTCTCGGCAGCTCTGCATCTTTTTCCCGGAGTCAAGAGCAAGGTTCTGCAACACCCTCTGATTCTACGCAGGTTTCTTCGAAGGAAACCGGCCGCCCCGGGGAGCTCACACGCAGTTCAGGGTGCCTGGTCTCGGAGGACCGATCTCAGTCCGAAACGCAGTCCCTCTTTGGCTCTCTTCTCTCGGTCTACTTTATCCGTCAGTCCAGTTCGACTGGCGGTCTAAACAGGCCGGCTGGGAGGCTGGGAGGCGACCCGCTCTAGCCACTGCGCCTTCCCTAACACCCTCACCCCCAGTCTCGGCCACATTTCATTGGAAGCAAGTTCCGCAGAAATCCTTGGGGCTCGCTTTCCCACCCAAAGGGAGTTAGCCTCGGCGTGCGAAGCCAGTCGCCAGGCGGCCCCTGCTTGCAACTCTGCGGCGCACTCCCTTCTTTCATTTTTACCCCGTGGGGGAGGGGAGAGGCAAAGAGTTTGCCACCGTCGCATTTCGTCCCTGCAGACGGGAAAATGTGGGGCGGAGGGGGAGGGGGAGGCAGAGGCGGTTGACAGACCCATCTGTGCCCCGAACGGGCTTCCTTTTTTAATCCCTCGTCTTATCTTTCCCATTTCTTTCCTTGTCTCTTCCTAAATCCTACTACTTTCAAACATCCCCCATCCTTCGCTTTCCCGGTACGAGGCTATTACGAGCGCTATTCTCACTATTATTGTTACCATAATTACTATTACTATTCATAGTATTTTATAGCATGACCTTTGCCGCACTGATAAACACGCTATTTTTTAAAGAACGGAGGGAACCTGGATTTTTTTTTTTTTTGAAAGAGAAGAAATACTCTCTAAGAGTTGAACATTACAGAGAAAGAAACAGAGATGCTGAAAGCGAAGAGAAAAGGGCATTTAGAAGAGAGACAGGAAAGTGGTCTCACGACGCGATTGAATTCTTTCTCTCGTCGTCCAAAGCTAATATGCCCTGCCAAAATCCTGCGCCCTATACATACATACATACATACATACATACATGTGTGTGTGCTTGCGTGCGTATATACACACACAGACACACACACACAGACCCAGGGAGAGACAGACAAACAGGCGCGCGCGCGCACCCCATAGATCACCCACAGCCAACTTAAAAAGGAGCAAGTCTGTACCGTGGCTAATGTGCAGCTTTCGCATCCAGGGGAATATCTGCGGGCTTTGTCCTTCCGTGGCCGGCGTGGAGGTGGCGATCGGCTCCGCCTGAGCTCGGGCGCCGTTGCTGTTGACTTGGGAGCCGTTCTCTTCGGTTCCCGAGGACGCGCTGGTCTCGTCTATCTCGGCAAACGCGGTGGCGCTGGCAGCGCCGACAGAGGCTGCCTGCTCGGCGGGGGAGGACCCGGCTGCCTTCCCTCCATGGCTTTCGCCGCCGCCGCCGCTGCCGCCGCCGCCGCCGCCGCCGCCGGTGCTGCTGCCGGTGCTGGTGCTGCTGGTGCAAGGGAGGGATTCGGGAGAGGACAAGGAGCAGCTGGACGCCTGTCTGAACCTGCTTTCGGGCGCTGCTTGGGCAGGGAAGGCGCGAGAGCTCTCCCCAACCGCTCCAAAGTGGCTGGAGGAGGAGGCTGAACGGCTGATGCTCAGATCCATTCCATTGTAGTTGTATCCCCCGTAAGAGCCGGCGTGCATGTTGCCTGGATCTCTATAAGATCCGTTCATGGAACTGCCGGCCCCATAATTTAACAGCTGATAGTCTGGGGCATTAGGATAGCGTCCTGAGAACGAGTTTACAAAGTAAGAACTCATTTGGGTTTGTATTTTGGAGGGCTTGATTTGTGGGGCTCGTGGTCGTTATAACCCCTGTGCTTGAGGATTTATGATGTATTAATGAATTATAGCGATGCACTGTACTTCGTTTTTGCTATGTATGCGGCCAAATATGGGGGTGGGGTGGGGGGTGCGTTTGGGAATCACGTGCTTTTGTTGACCAGTCGTAAATTCTCACTGATGACCTCAAGAGGCAATTCATGCTCTATGGTTACAAATAATGACGATCCGAGAATCGTTAGGCCCATGTCAATGCGCGGCTTCCGAAGGGGGAGGAAGGAAGGGGGAGGAATCAACGAGCAGAGATTGCTCCTTGTTGGCGTTGTGCGCCACCTACTGGGCAAATGAAGAATTAGCCGACAGGGAGGTTACCTCACTCACCTTTTTTTAAGTAGTAAAGCGCTCTGTTTTTGTGTCCTCTACCTTTTCTAGAAATAAAATATTTTTCCCCAAAAAAGTGTCGTTTCCGTCTTTGTTTCTCTACTTTCCCTCTTTCTTCCTGAAGCTATCATGCTTTTCTAATGCGGAAAAGAAATTTTCTTTTCATATTATATGCAGTATAAAATCGTTGCTATTATTATTATTATAAATAATAGTTGTTCAATACTAAATAACCATTCCAGTGCTGTTTTTGCTTTGATATTAGAAAGGGATATTCCGGGCAAAATTTATTTGGATGAAAATCAAGATAATAGTTCCTCTTTCCTTTCCACATTTTTTCCTTTGCTTCTCCTACTTAGGTGTCACTATCAACATCAAAACTACTGTTTGAACGTTTTTGCACTATTATTACCATCATCACAGTATTATTCCTACTACTATTCCTACAGTTCAATACCAGTGCAAATAACAGAAGGGGAGATTCAACTCATATTGACATTATCTGTATTTTTTCAATAATCAGCAGTATGGTGAGTTGTAGAACTGGCAATCTCTTGAGAGAACTGTTTCAGATGAAGAGGGTCCTCATCTTTCATTTAAATTACTAAAAATGCTTGGTAGTGGTCAATCTTATAATGATGGGCCAGATTGGTTAACACTTCGAATGCTTTTCTTTTGTCCAGCCATGCCAATATGTTTTCCTCCCCATTCTTCTTCTGCCAACCTTCAAGAATTTACAAAACCCAGCTTGCAGCTCATTGAAAATTATGAGCCATATTGAAAGTGGCATATAATTATAATAATCACAGCTAGTGAAAAGTGTAGCAATAAGGATACATATTCTGCAGCTGCAAGGCTTCAGAGTATGTTATTTCATCGAATCTGGGGTGATTTGGGATGGGGAGGAATTAATGCATTTATACTTATGCATTTGGGATGACAGAGTACTAGAAAGGAAATTATTGTTTCAGGTCCTCACCACTTTTTTCCTTTTTCAAAGAAAATTCAGGAAATAGGAAATAGGAAAAAAAACACAAATAAACAAGAAATAATTGTTAACAGCTTCCTGAGGGCAACAGCAAAGAACAGTTATATCTTAAGCTTCCTTAGGTAATCAATGCCTTGTAAGGAAAGGAAAGGAAAGGAAAGGAAAGGAAAGGAAAGGAAAGGAAAGGAAAGGAGAGAAAAGGAGAGGAAAGGAAAGGAGAGGAGAGGAGAGGAAAGGAGAGGAAAGGAGAGGAAAGGAGAGGAAAGGAGAGGAAAGGAGAAAAGGAGGAAAGAAAGAATTACATAAGAAAAATAGATTTAAGGATCTCTTCTTTTTAAAATGTCACTTGAATATTTGCTTTTAAAATTGCTTATTTAACACCTTTCTGTTAGTTCTGAGCACAGAACACTAACAGCCTGCAGTCTCATATTTTAACTTAATTTTGGGTGAGATGTTAAGCCTAGTTACAGTTTTTTTGGAAGGGGGCTGGGAGGATTTACCTAAGAGGAAGTTGAGCCAATGTTTGAGAAAGGCTATGCAAACGTTATGTATGTTTTAGCAGATGTAGAATGGGAGGGAGAATTATGCCTGTTTCTTTGATTTATTATATATGTGGTGTGCTCCCCACATAACTCTTTTGTGCTGTAACAATAAAAAAATCCATATTAAAGTTAAATGTCAGCTCCGATATATTCTTGGTGAAAAGGTCTTTTATTTAAGTTTAGGCTGAGGAACTGGAAGTGTGCATGAAGGGGGGGAGGGAGTTGAATATATCTTTCACTGCTAACTTCTGTAATGTTTAAGAAATTGCTTGCCTGTTTAGATTAGGGAAAATAACTTTTTTTTTAAAGCAGGGTTTTTATATTCCTTTTTTACCAACCACACAGCTCATGTAAGTAGATATATTCCTCAGAAAGAGTGTGGGATGAGGGAAGACATGTCCTAAGTCATGAACATAGCAAGTGTTTTTCTCAATGTAGTTGTTTTTTGTTTTTATTAATTTGATAGGACTTTTAAAATCTCCATAGCTAACACAGACTACAAACACAACACTGTAAAAACTGTAATAAAATAAAACAGAATTTCAAAAAAAAAAACCTCTTTAAAAAATCCACCATACTTTTTAGGTTGCAATTGTTCCTTTTTAATATAATTTTGCTTAAAACAAAAACCCTTAAATGACAAAGAACCTAGTGTTTGATTAACTTAATTTTATATAAAAAAGCAAACAAATAAGTAAAATCGTGCATGACACTTCTGTTTTACAAAATAGACAATCAACAAGCCCAAAACCTGACACATATATTGCAGCACCTCCACTTAAATACAAGGGTTAGCAAGAATCCTAAGGAGGACACCCAAAGGTAAATCAAACAAAACAAAACGCAACCACAAACCCATCTGTGGTAAAGGGAGGGGGGCATAAAGAGGGTGGGAAAATAAATTGGACTAGAAACTTGATTATGATACGACAAATTACTGAATGCAAGCGAGGGTGCAAAAGGAAGACACCGCCATACAGTCTCAGTTATTTTACAAAAATGTGTGTCTCAGTTGTGCCTTTTGGGGGTGGGGAGGGGTTGCCATTTCTGGAGCTTCCCCAACTGTTGGCATTTTTGCTTTCTTTCCCATTCATTCATTCATTCATTCATTCGCTTGGTCTCTCTCTCTCTCTCTCTCTCTCCCCCCCTCTTTCATTCCGTTGGTTTCTCCTCTTCTTCCTCGGCGCTCAGTTGAGTGGAGTTGAGAAGCTTGTTTTCCTTTTTCCATTTCATCCTTCGGTTCTGGAACCAGATTTTTATCTGGCGCTCCGTCAGACACAGGGCGTGAGCGATCTCGATGCGTCGGCGCCTGGTCAGGTAACGGTTAAAGTGAAATTCTTTCTCCAGCTCCAGAGTCTGGTAGCGCGTATAAGTCTGTCGCCCTCGCCTGCCACTCGGCCCAAAGGAGGAACCTGGTGGGGATGGAGAAGAAGGCAGGGATGTGCTACTGAACATTTACTGGAGTTTCAAATATGCATGACAATGGCTATGCTACTCACCAGAGTGTGTTGCTGTGTGTCTGTCTGTGTGTGTGTGTGTGCGCGCGCGCGCGCGGGGAAGGGGGGGAGACCCATTCCCTGCAGTAATTTCCCTTCTCCATGTGGCCCTCTCTCCTGTCCCCAACCCTCAGTGATCAAAACCGCCGTCGTACATAATACAAGGAAAAATGTAATTTTTAAAAAATAAAGATATTTATAAGGAAAGGAAACATGAGGAATCAACAAATCCACCCCTATCTGGGTAGCTTTTCCCTTCGTGCTTGGGAACGCCGCATTTTCCTGAATAATCCTGCACCACGTTTGAACTGAAAAGTTGGGGGCTACACTTCCCGGATATTCGCCTGCTCTCTGGCCGAGTCTCCCTGGGCGCCCAGAAAGCTCAGCCTGAAAACTTGCAACTCCATCATACAATCTGTTTTGTTTGTTTGCATGTTTATCTTTTTCAAACAAGAAGGGGAGGGGGAAAATTTGGAAAAACAGTTATATGTAACTCGGAAGCCTACTGCTTCTGGTTTTGTTGGGGTGGGGAGAGTTAGGTGAACTACTTCTTCCCCCAAAGACCCCCTCCGTTTTTCTCTCCCTGCAAACTCGAGTGCCTCTCCTGAGCAGTGTTCAGGGGGAAAAGTTGCTGCCCTGGGACACTTGCTTGGGAGTAAATCCTCCGCCTACTGCAGTTCTCCGAGAAACAGGGCTTCGGGTGGGCTGTGGGGCTCTCAAAAGCTCCTGAACGGGAAGTGACTTAATGTGGGGGGACACTAGAAGGAAGATAGGCAGCAACACTTCCTTCCCACGAGCTGAGGATCGAGGAGCCACTGCGATGTAATGGCGCAGAGGGTTGGTATGTTTGTTAGGAGTGAGTGCAGTGGCGGGCTGGCAAGATTGGTTTTGAGAGGGTTATCCATGCCCTTCCATTCAGAAAGAATTAATGCCCAAACTTAAGAATTCCTTCTATCCTATCCTCTCTTCACTCTTCTTCTGCGCAGCCATCTCTGACCAAGTTTCTTTCCGTTGTGTGGTGCTTAGTCTCCCCTCTCCTCGTCTCCCCTCTCCTCGCTTTCTATATTCCCCCCCGCCCCGCCGCCTTAATCTCTAATTGCTTTAGATTCGGGAACTTAAGCTAACATCTACCTACCTACCTACCTACCTCTCTCTCTATTGATTTCCCTTAATTTCCCCTCCCTTTGGAATGTAAAATCAGTGCCTGTGTACCTAGAGGTGGGAGGAGGAGCTGTGGCTACGTCTTTATCATTCTTTAAATGAATTTTCATGGAAATTATGGCACCTGGAGGCAGTCGTTGATCACAAAGAAAGTGGGGGAGGGAGTGAAAGAAAAACTATCTACAACTCCTCTTCAGGCAGCCATTCAATTATGCTTGAGTTTCATTAAAAATGTAGCTCTCTCCCTTCAAATATTTAAGCCCTCCTGACATTATTCCACTGGCTAGGTTTGCAGAATATGCTCTTGGTGGAATTGGCACAGAGGTATCGTGTGTGTCACTGTGTGGCGGGCGGGCGGGCGGGCGGGAGGTGCGCGAAAGAAGTTGAAATCGAGGTCTGTTGAAAACAATTGGGGAGTGGGGGGCAGCTTGATAGCAATTGCACCGTGTGAGTGTGTCTGTGTGTGTGCGGATGAGTGTGAGTGCCCAAGACACCTTTCTAAATCACCCCTAGTGAGTGACAACTAACATTGCCTTCTCCAAGACAGTCAATAAATCTCCGCGCTTTCAGTCGCAGAAAGTTGGCTAAAGAGAGGAACTAACCGAAGAGAAGTTCCTTCAGATAATATGACGAACAAACAAACACAACAAACAAAGAAAGCTAGGCAGCACTCTCTGTTTGAAACACAGGGTAAGCAGCGCAAAAAGTTTGGAGGAAGTTTCTGGTTCTGCTGCCTGCAGCCTCAGATTAGAAGGAAAACATTTCCTGCTCTATCTAGGTAGCCATCTGTCACCTAACATGATTGAGAAGAACGAGGGAGGAAAAGCAACTTACTATTGCAGGAATTCATCCTCTGCATCCAAGGGTACACTGGCGTGGAGCACTTTTGATCCTCGTTGTCCCCGAAAACGTGCTTGCTCTGTGAGCAGTCCGACTTCCGGGCTTGCTCCTGGCCGAACTGAACAGGCTCCTCTAGGCTTGAGAGAGAACAGCCTGTCTCTTTCTCCCTGTAAAAACCAGATGTCCCGTAATCGCAGGCTGGACTCCGGTTGTAAGCTCCGTTGGTTTGCTGGTAGTAAGGCGCGCCCGGGTAACCTTTCTCCTGGACCCCACCGCCCCCAGTTCCATACGTGCTGGAATAGTGCCTTAAAGGATCCGCGTAGCCCGTGGAATACAAGGGGAGCTGTCCCAGGAACGGTTCTTGACCCCCGGCTAAGCTCACCGGGAAAGTAGAGTTGACAAAATAAGAACTCATTGGAAATAATAATAATAATAATAATAATAATAATAATAATAATAATAATAAACAACAACCAGAAGAACAGCGTCTGTTCTTTCTCTTGCTCTTTATGATTTGTTGCGTTTTATAGTCCAAGCGGTTTAGCTATTAGCAGTATATGGGAGATTGGGTTTTAGCTGAAGGGGGATGGCCGCGTGCCAACCAGGGACATAAGGGAAGGGAACCATCTGATCACGCGCTGACCAATAGCAGGAGTCGGAGGCTGCGAAATAGCACCCTAGAGGGGTTAGCTGTGCACAGGGGACCCCCCAGAACAAACCAGTGAGAGCATCTCTGCCACCAACACTATCACCTTTAAACAACAGAAACGCCCCCCCATGTACAAATAGACCCCACTCTTTCCTTTTCCCCTTTCCTTTCCCCCCCCCCCCCCCCCCCCC